AGACGGGATAAAAAGAGATGGTAACTAACTCGGCCCCGGAAAAGCGCACGGCCGTCAGTTACATGCGTCCACTGCGTTTGGCGTTCTCTTCTCTTCCCAGTCTTTTCTTCTTCCCGTGGTTCTTCCCCCCCCCCCTTTTCGGTTGGCCCCTTTGACCCTTTCCGATATTGGCAAGCTGCCTAAAACTCGTATTTGCGTAAGCGTTTCTGCAACCCCATTTCGGTTGCGTGGTGGTGGGAGTCTGGTGGGAGACTGCACGCGGGGGTAGTGGTGGTCAGGCGGTCAAGGTTCAGTGAGCCCCTGGTGGGGGTGGGGGCGCTCGGGGGGGGGGGGGGGGGCGCCTCTCGCAACTCGGGGCAAGCGCATGGCTCGGGGATTGTACTTGAAATGTACTCACATCCCGAGAGGGGCTCTGTGCGCCGAGGCCCAGCCCGGCCCAGCCCGGCGCGGTGAGCCCCTAAATCGCTCACGTCCTATAAGCCGGTCCTCGGACGCGGCGACGCGGCCCGACACGCACCGCCCGGACGGCGTAAACAAAACGAGGGCGGACAAATCAGGCCGCACTGCGCGGCGTCTCGGAGCGCTTTAGTGCCGTGCCATTTTGCATCGCCGGGGCCGCGGCTTAAACGCGGCCGGGCGCGGATCGCTGGTGATGATCTGGGGCGTCTGACAATGTCCCCCTCCCCGCCCCCACCCCCCGGCGTGCCCCAAACCTCGAGTGGCCCATTACGTTGAACAAAAAAGATAATTGCTGCTGCCGTTGTTGGTCCCACCGAGGCCTCTCTCTTCCCCCCTCCACGACACCCCCGCGCGCCAAACGCTGGAGAATAAATAGCTCGGCAGGGAGCTTCGCTTTTCTTTCCCCGAGCAATAATTGCGGCAATTGGGTGGTGGGGCGGGGTGGGGCGGAACACGCTGCTGCAGCAGCCTTGTGGTTTCCTCAGACGCACTCGCAGCTGCACTGATTGCTGCCGCCGTTGGCGCTGCCGAAGTCGGGCGGCATGCCCCCAGGACGTCGTCGTAGACCTTGTCGTGTACGTCGTTGTGGACGTCGCCGTGCATGTCGTCGTGGACGTCGTCGTTGACGTCGTCGTGGACGTCATCCTGGACGTCGTCGTGGACCTCGTCCTAGACGGCGTCGTGGACCTCGTCCTGGACGTCGTCGTGGACCTTCGTCCTGGACGTCATCGTGGACCTCGTCCTGGACGTCGTCGTGGATCTTCGTCCTGGACGTCATCGTGGACCTCGTCCCCCTGGTGGATCGGTCGGACGGGATCCGGACGCCGACCGTGGCGTCCAGGTGGCGTCCAAAATGTTTCAAATAGGACCGTTTGTGGACTGCGTCCCTGCGAGGTCCACCGGCGTCCAATTATCGTCCAGTACGTCCGCGCAAGGTCCATAAAGGGTCCACAAAGGGTCCATGTGGGTCCGTTGGGGTCCGTGGGGGTCCGTGGGGCGTCCGTGCTAGGTCCGTTGGGGTCAGTGTGGCGTCCATACTGCGTCCGTTGGGGTCAGTGTGGCGTCCATACTGCGTCCGTTGGGTCCCGTAGGGCGTCCGTACTGCGTCCGTACTGCATCCGTTGGGATCCGTGGGGCGTCCGTACTGCGTCCGTTGGGATCCCTGGGGCGTCCGTACTGCGTCCGTTGGGACCCGTGGGGCGTCCGCGATGCGTCCGTTAGGGTCCGCACGGCGTTATCTAACTGGGGCCCAAAGGGCTCTTATAGGCGCTTATGGACGCTAACGGACGCACTTCGGACTTTGGATGCGTGGACCCATAAGGACGCACTTAGGACCCTGGTTGCGACCACTCGTTGGAAAGGTCTCACCAAGACCTGTTCGAATCTGCAATAAAAAAAAATTGTTGGTCACCCCCCTTTTTTCAAAATAGAGTTAAAAAATCAGTATCTTGAAAAAAGGGGGGTGACCAACAATTTTTTTTTATTGCAGATTCGAACAGGTCTTGGTGAGACCTTTCCAACGAGTGGTCGCAACCAGGGTCCTAAGTGCGTCCTTATGGGTCCACGCATCCAAAGTCCGAAGTGCGTCCGTTAGCGTCCATAAGCGCCTATAAGAGCCCTTTGCGCCCCAGTTACATAACGCCGTGCGGACCATAACGGACGCATCACGGACGCCCCACGGGTCCCAACGGACGCGGTACGGACGCCCCAGTGATCCCAACGGACGCGGTACGGACGCCCCACGGATCCCAACAGACGCAGTACGGACGCAGTACGGACGCCCCACGGAACCAAACGGACGTAGTATGGACGCCACACTGACCCCAACGGACCTAGCACGGACGTACCAGGGACTCCAAGGCAAGCAAAACTCAAGCGGCGTCGCACTTCGGACCATTAGCGGACCTTTGGGGCGGACTGGACGGACGCACTGCGGACATATCCTGGACTTCCATTTTTGACCGGCTTCGGACCCAAACGGACTTACCAGGGACTCTCAGGCAAAACTCTCGCGGCGTCTCCCGCCGGACCACTGGCGGACCCTCTGGTGACCATTCACGGACTTCAAGGACGTATTGCGGACTTCGTAAAGTTTTCTATGAAGTTTGGCGGACGGCAGGTGACCCAATGCGGACGCTTGACAGACGCTGTTTTCTGTGCGTGGACCAAGCAGACGCAGAGTGGACCAACTTCGGACTCGAGTGGACTCCGAAAGGACGCTTGGGACCCTTATCGGACGACGTGAGACCGTGGACGCGCCGGGACGGCGAATGGACTGAAGGCTCCGGACGTCGCAGACTACAGCAGGACTGACTGTGGACCAGGAAGGACGCACTGGACTCAGTTCGGACTAGTTATGGACCCCCCAGGACCTCACGGACGGCAAGCAGACGCCATCTTTGCGTCCAGATCGGGTCCGAACGATCCACCAGGGCCGAGGGGTGACCCACTGCAAAATTTTGTGTACAATGATTGTGTGAATGTGCAAGAATCGGCAAGAATGTGCAAGAATGTGCAAGATTTCTGGCGTTTTTGCGACACATGTTGCCTACTTTCAGGCGTTCTTGCCACCTGAATGTGGAATGTGGTCAAATTTTGCACAATGAATGTGGGAAGCTGTTCCCCCCTCGACCTCGTCCTGGACGTCTTCGTGGATCTCGTCCTGGACGTTGTCGTGGACCTCATCGTGGACGTCTTCTTGGACCTCGTCCATGGACGCCATCGTGGATCTCGTCCTGGACGTCGTCGTGGTCCTCGTCCTGGGCCTCGTCCTCAACCTCGGGGTCGTTGACGTGCTCGTGGGCACCGGGCCACGCACCTGCAGCGTGCTGCACCGCGACTGCTGTCGAACTCCCCCCGCGACTGCAGCGCCGCTTTTTGCCGCCACGGCCAGGCGGGCCAGGCCGCCGACAGCGGGAAGGGGGGTGGGGCGAGCGCGCCGGCGAACGCCGTGTAGATCGGCACCATGCCAGAGTCAATATGCTGCTGCTGCAATCCCAGGGCCCGGGGCCCTGGCCTGCAGAGCGGTTCCGCGTCGCTGTCTCCCTCGCACTCGCAGTGGAGCCCCCTGTGAGTGCGAGCGAGACAGGGCGACGAAAGCGCTGCTCGGCACCAGCCAGCCAGCGGGGCCGCTGCGGGCTGCAGGCCCTTGCAGGGGCCGTGCGCGAGCGACGTACACTTTGTGCGCGGCGGTGCCACGGCGGGGTGGGGTGGGGCGGGGCGGGGCGGGGCGGGGGCGCGGCGGCTTTGTAAACATCCCCACTGTCGCCGCAAAGTGCTCGGGGTCTCGACCTGCTCGTCCTTGGCGATGGAGGCGATGGCGGTGCTGGCGGAGCTGGCGCGGTGTCCGGCCGCTTATACAGCTGCTGCTGCTTCGCCAACTAGTCCTGGGCGGCGGCCACGTTGGCCCGGGCAAGGCGCCGGCCGGACCCCAACTTTTTCCGCCCGCGCGCTACTTTGTTACCAACTTTTTTCGGCTCCTCCGGTTGTGTTTTTTCGTGTCGCCTGGCTGGGCTCCTCCGCCGTGCGTCTTGTGTGTCCGAGAGTCCGAGGCCTGCAGGCTGGCCGCCGAAGCCGCGCCGCAACGACCCATTGAGCACCAATGGCGGCGCGGCGGCGCACCTAGGCCTCGGCCTTGGCCCCGGCCGCGGAGACGGCCTCGTTGTTGTGCGGGGGCAGGCACGGGACCGTTTCTCCAAGTGCTTCATCTCGTCGGGGTCACAAAAAATAATTGAATTTCCCGTATTCCGGCCTCGGCCTCGGTGTGCGTGTCGTGCGTGCAGCCAGGCAGGGCCGGGCACCACACCGTCACGGCCTCGTCGTGCGTCCCCGCGTCGGGCGAGGCGAGGCCAACAAACACGTCCAATCCCTATAGCGGCCGTCGCCCCGGCCGTTGGGCCATTTACGTGATTTGATGACTCCGAGGGCGAATTGGTGGCGCTGCAGTTAGTTTGGGATTCTGGGCGCGCGGGCAGCGCAGGCAGCGCTCCGCCGGCTGGGTGAAATATTATTATTATTTGTTTGCATATCGGCAAACTCATTTGGCCCTTGGAAATTGGAAGAATCCCGCCGATGTTGTTTTGCCCTTTCCGAGGTAGCAAACGGCTTCGGCCATTTTTTTTCCCCAGCTCGCACGGACCCTCCTCATTTGTTCAGACTTTTCTCTTTTCTCACGGAGTCCCCTTCTTTCCCGCTCGGCTCCTGTGTGCCACGGTGGTGCATATGCTTGATTTTATGCGGCGCGCTCGCTTTGCCTTTGAGCACTGCGCTAGGAGCGGCGCCGCGAAGGCATGAGGCGGGGTGCAAGTTTTGATTAAGGGCGAGAGGAAAGACTGTGCGTTTTCCACACACACTCGCACCCGCGGTGCTACCACACCGTGAGGGCCTGTCGGACGGAACCAAAGCAGTAACTTGGAACACGGCCCGTGCTTTACACTTCGCCGGGGTATTGAGGGTGAATAACTCCGCGCTGCGATGGGGCGGCTGGGCCGCGCGCTGCCAGGCCCATTCGGGGCTCTTTAACCTCACCGCCCCGTCCGGGCATGCCTGTCCCGACCGGCCTCAAGGGCAAACACGCAATATATTCTGTTATTTTCCTTGTTGAGCTCGACACGGCCCATGGAGTTAGGCCCAGTTAGGCCCGGTCCCGGGGCCCGTCCTGGAAAACGAAAGTTTGTTTTTATAAGCAGCCATCCCGACAGACAGTCGGGGCTGCAATGTAACGAAAACATTTGGGTAATCGCGATCCGCATCACAACAATAACAAACCTCGAAGGTCACCGCCCCCTTTGGCGCCGAGTGTTTGCGTCTCGCTCGCACGCGACGATTATGCCGCCGTTTTTCACGGCTTACTCACTCCAACCTTCAAAATAAAACGCGAAACAAAAAATGGCGTGCTAAAAAACAAAAGGCTATGCGCCGAGGGGTTGGGGCAGGGCTTGAGGAACGCAACAAAAGATTCGGTGCTGCTGGCTCCACTGCCGCGCAGTCGCGCACTCTGTGACTTTTTTTTGTTTTTTGTCGGCCCGTTTTGCCTCTTGACTGCGATTCTGTCTCGGGGGTTATGATGGCGCGGTCAGTGGCGTGCGCAGGGGGGGGGGGGGGGGGGGGGGGGGGTCAGGGGGGTCATGACCCCCCCTTTGGCCACTAGACAGCCGCCTGGAAGGTAGGCAAATTGCGTCACTTTCCCCCTGTAAGTAGGCAAAAAGCGTGGCCTGACCCCCCCCCCCCCTTTCTAAATTTCTGCGCACGCCACTGGGCGCGGTGCGGTTAGTGAGGACGGAATGCCCCGCGGACGCCGCCCCGCCCCGCCCCCTGTTTACTGCCACTCAACATGTGTTTACGGCCTCGCCACTGGGGGGCGATCGGCCGAGACGAGGACTCCACTTTTTTACAGGTTTTCAATAAGTTGCCTGGGGGAGGACCCACCCCGCCCTGCCCCACCCCACCGCGCCCCGCCCCGCCCCGCTTCGCGACCTTGATTCAATTTCCCGGTCGGATTGGCGTGGCGCGTGGCGGCCGCGGGCGTCAACTGCTGCCCCACCCTCCCCCCGCGGCGACACGCGAAAAAAGAAAAATGTAGGATTGCGTGGGAGTGGCGTGGTCAACTGACAGAGAGAGAGAGAGAGAGAGAGAGAGAGAGAGAGAGAGAGAGAGAGACAAGGACGATGTTCGGGTTCGGCGAAGAGTTGCACTGGCATGCAGGCATTCGAGTGTGGACGGTTCGGGTCTCTGCTACCCCTTTCTTACTTTATCTTTTTATATGTGCGCTGTATATCTCTGGCCGTGCTCGCCGCGCCGCGCCTCGCCATGCTCTTTGTCAAGCAAGGAGGCCAATCCGTGCGCTCGCGTCCGCGGGGCGCCTTTCCTCTTTTTCGGCGCGCTCTTTCAATTATTTCTGCAAATCCCGCTTGCTGCGCGGGCGGCGGCTGCGGCGTTGCGGCGCCGTCCACTGAATTTTCATGCGTCCGCGTCGTTTCGTGTTGCAGGCCTGTTCCAGCGCGCCGTGCTCATGTCCGGCTCGGCGTACAGCCCCTGGGCCCTGGTGCAGGACCCCGTGCGCGCGGCGGTGCGCGTCGCCTCCAAGCTCAACTGCACCGTGCCCGCGGACCTGGCGCGCGACCACGAGGACATCGTGGACTGCCTGCGCGCCGCGCCGCTCGACAGCCTCCTGGACGCGGCCGCGCTCCCCGCCCCGGACTACATCTCCGTGTTCGGGCCGTCCGTCGACGGCGTCGTCATCAAGAGGGACCTCGTCAAGGAGTTCCTCTCGGCCAGCAAGAAGGCGCTCAACGGCCAGGACGGCAAGGAGGCGGTGAGTGCCGGCGTCCCCCAGTGGGCCAGAAGACCGGTGGCGGCGGCCGAAGTCCCGGACACGTTTCGAGCTCCAGAGCCGCTAAATGACCCTCGAACCGAACGTGTGACCCCACCAATGGATTCCTCGTTCAGAGAGCAATCCATTGGTGGGGTCACACGTTCAGCTCGAGTCCAATTTGGCGACGCTGGACCTGAAAACACGTTCGGGATTGAGACCGCCGCCACCGGCCTTCAGGCCGACTGCGCGTCGCGGTCCTTCCCTTTCGCTCTCAGCCGGCGAGGGCGAGCAAACATTCTACCGCCGTCTCTGTCTGCAGTACGCGGACGGCGGCGGCGCGGACGCCTGGGCGCCCGGCATGACGATGCACGGCGCCAGGGGCTACGGGCTGCTGTGCGGCGTGGTGGCCAACGAGGCCGTGTTCCGGGTGCCCGACCGCGCCATCGTGGCGGGGCTGGCCGGCGAGCAGCGCGACAGGTAAGGAGAGTTTGTTGTGTCGTTTGCCGAAAGAGGGAGGCCTGGCGGAGCGGAGGGGGCGCCGGAGGAGGGGAAGACCGCCCTATTTCACGAGCACGCCGTCGCGACGCGCCAAGTTCTTATCGCGCTTCCGCGCCGGCATCGCGGGGCCTTAACTCCGAAGCATTACGATGTGGCGGCCGGGACGGCGGCCAGGATGAGGGCCTCGAACAATTGCAAATTGTAAGCTTTGTGCGCGTAAGAGCGGTGGGCGGTCTGGCTGGCGGCCCCGCCCCGCCCCGCCCGCTCCAAGTTGCCCCCAAGTTGTAATGATGTCACGTGAATTTGGGGCCGGAATGTCGGCACACTGTGTCAGGCCGATCAACGGAGGCATTCCTCCACGGGAGGAGGACGCCGTCGAGGGGGCGGAGCACGCGTCGCCTAGTTCTTTTTCTTTATTTTTTGTAGTTTTTATCATCGCCAGCGGTGCTTATTTTGGAAACTCGGCGGCGAGGCGGCCGTGTGCACTTGAGTGACTCGGCCCGGCCATCCTGGCCTGCCCGGCCTGCCCGGCCGCACGCATCAAGTCCAAAAGTTGCGCCATCAAGTCGGCCTGGAAGTGCCGTGAAAGTGACCCCCGCGGCGCGCATATTTCTGCGCGTGTAGCGGGGCCGTGGCGGGGCGGGGCGGGGCGGGGCGGGGCGGGGCGGGGCGGGGCGGGGCGGGGCGGGGCGGGGCGGGGCGGGGCGGGGCGGGGCGGGGCGGGCGGGGCGGGGCGGGGCGGGGCGGGGCGGGGCGGGGCGGGGCGGGGCGGGGGGGCGGGGCGGGGCGGGGGGGGCGGGGCGGGGCGGGGCGGGGCGGGGCGGGGCGGGCGGGGTTTCGCGGCGCGGCTCGCAGGAGGCCTTCGCCGCGCGGCCCGTGTGTGCTTCCCTTCCCCAGGGTGGCCGCCTCGGTGGCGCGGAGGGCGCGGGGCGGCTGCGGTCCGACCGCGCAGAACGGGTAAACAGCCGGTGACGCACCGCAACTGCTGCGGTGCCTTCCGCTGGCTTTTGCATTAAATATTCCAACGGCTGTTGTTGTTGTTGTTGCTGCTGCCGCCGCCACTGCCGCCGGGCTGGGGCCGTCGAATTTGTTGGCCGTCGTCGCAAAGGAGGAACGAATAACTTGGCAAAACGCTTTTAGCGCGCGGCCACGCCCCGCCCCACCCCGCCCCGCCCCGCCGAGGGAGAAATTGGAATGTCAGGCCACGGGGTCCTCGCCAGGCAGCGGCTTTTTCTTGCTCATCATTTTTGCATGCACCCAAAGTATTTATTGTGGCCGTTGCCTCCGTTCCGTCCGTCCGCCGGTCCGCGCGTCGGTCTGTTTGGAAGCCGGGGCGGGGAAGGGAGGCATTTTTAAACGTTTAGAAAAAACAAAGGGAAATAATTAATCGAGTGGTAACTCGCCAAAGTTGGACGTCGGGCGCGGCTTTAAATCACCGTAACTGCGCCATTCGGCTAATGGAAAGGCGTTGTTGGCCGGCGGGGCTCGCGAGTTGGCGTGGACAGCACGCGTCGCGCCGTGCGGGGACTCGAGCTGGAACCAGGACTCCGGTCCGGTCGCAGGGACCTGGAACTAGGATCCTAGCGTCGTCCAGGAACTAGGAAACTGCATCTAGGCCCTAGTGCTGTGAACGGGACATGAAACTTCGCGTCTAGTGTCGTTCAGGGGCCTGCCTATAGGGCTCTATTGTCTTATAGGGACCTGGGACGAGCAGGGTAAGGACTCTAATGTCGCACAGGGGTTGATCTAGGACGTTAGTGTCGCACAGGGGCCGGGAACTAGGACGCTAGTGCCTCACAGCGATGAGGCAACGTGCATCCGCGGGGTGGCGTGCGAAGCTAAGGCATCGGCGTGCCGCGTGTGTCTCGGCCTGTCGGCCCGTCGGGTCGGACGCGTCTCCGGGGAGCAGCACGCAGTGCTTCGCTGTGCTTGCACAGCCCCGCTCGGGGCACTACACTCGCAGTCTTTATTTTTGCGTCCCGTGCAAACCAGACAGAACCACAAAGCTGCGTCTCTCTCTCTCTCTCTCTCTCTCTCTCTCTCTCTCTCTCTCTCTCTCTCTCTCTCTCTCTCTCCCTCTCTCTCTCTCTCTGAGAAAGACGCGCTTGCTACCCTCGGTGCCACCCGTGTGTGCGCTGCGTTTAATTTCACGACCCTTTTCCCAGGAACGAGTACTCTGCGAAACCAGGTTCCATGGCATTTTCAGTATCTGCATTTGGAAGTGCACAGTCAACAGTCCCCGCACTTCAAGTGTCGAGTATTCTCCACGAGATTGGGGCTCTGTGAGCTACTTCCTTGAAGCACGGAGACTGCAAACCACACACGTCCAAGTGTGGAGAATCACTCCGCACCAGGAAGTGTGGAATCCCCCACTGCTCGGTTTGGCAGCGCAGTGTACCCCCATCGTGCTTCCAGGGTCGTCGCGCGCGATGGGGCGCCAATCTGGAGGCCTGTCCTGCCTGGCCGTGCCCGTGAGGGCGTGCGGCCGTGAGGGCGTCGTAGTGAGACTAAGTAGTTCCCTCCCAGAGGCGGGCGGGGTGCCGGAGGCTGGTCCCCGTCGGGGCCGTACCCGGGCCTGCAGGGCCGGGGGCACTTAGGACGGGACGGGGCACTAGGCGTCGGGGCGGCAAGCTGTGGCGCTGTGGGGCCGGGCGGGGCCAGGTGGGTGACGCACAGTGGGCCAGAAGACAGGTAGAGGCGGACAAAACTCTAGACGCGTTTTCATCTCCAGAGTCGCTAATTGGGACTCGAACCGAACGTGTGACCCCACCAATGGATTGCTCTCCGAACGAGGAATCCATTGGTGGGGTCACACGTTCGGTTCCAGTCCCATTCAGCGCCTCTGGAGCTCAAAACGCGTCTCGAGTTTCGGCCACCTCCACCGGTCTTCTGGCCCACTGTGCGACGGGTCGCGCGGCCTGCGATGAGAATGGGTGGCAAGGCGAGAGAGGCCCCGGTCGCCCTGGCTCGCCGCCTCGGCGCGTGTTGAGCGCCGTCGGCGCCGCATCGAGATGTGGCCGCGAATTAGAATGTGATGTCCGCACTCTTTTTGCCCCTGAATATTTATGAGCGAGACAGCAGGCGTTCCGCGTTCCGTTCTTCCTCCCACTCCTCCTCTCGCCGCCGACGCCCTCGCCCCTCGTCCTCGTCACGCAGTGCAGGGCCGCCAGGGCCCGCGGCACAGCCAGCCAGTGGCAGCCAGCTCTCGCCGATTTTAATCAAGAGCCGCTCGCAGCGCCATGGCTGCGCCGCGCGGTGGTTGATGGCCGAGGCGGGGCGGGGGGGGCGGGGCGGGGGGGGGCGGGGGGGGGCGGGGGGGGGCGGGGCGGGGCGGGGCGGGGGGGGGTGGGGCGGGGTGAGGCGGAGCGGGGCGGGGCGGGGCGGGGGGGGGCGGGGCGGGGGGGGGCGGGGCGAGGCGGGGTGGGGCGGGGCGCGCGTTGCGGTGGCGCCGACTCGTTCGGACTGGACTCTCTCAATTTACACGCGCGCTGTCGTGTCGCCCATCAGTCTGCTGGAGAGCTCTGCGGTCGTGCCGGACCGAGCAGCAGACCGATTCCGAGAGTCGCGTTCCTCGCCCTGTCCCTCTCGCACTCACGGGGTGGCCGGAGTAGGTGCGAGAGAGACAGAGCGACGAAAACGAACTCTCGGATTAAGTCTGCTGGCGGCGGGCTGGAGAGGAGAGCCGCCGTCGGACTTGGTTATACGCGAGTCCGGTCCAGATCGGCCAGCTAGCTGTCCCTCGGACCGTCCTGCATTCGACTCCCTCGGTATGCCCGTCGTCACTTCCCAGTGTACCAGCTTCTGTCAGTCCGTGAGTGTGCTCTCGCAGAGCTGCGCCGGGCGGCGCCGCCGAGGAGCTTTGGACAGGATTTGTCCATCTGCCGCATAATCTCGGCGTGCTTCACCCGGCCGACCCGCACAGTGGTAATGCATGCATGTGGTGTGTACCCGGCGCCCCATCAT